ATTAAAGTGCAAAATTCCTGATTTTATATATAGATCATTCTATTTCAATGCTCAGAATAAGGGAAAACATACAAGAACTTCAAAATCTGCTTTTGCAGTCTTTAAAAGTTGGAGTTTTTTTAAAACCTCGTCTCATGTTCTCTGACCGTGTTTCTTTAATTTTCCAAAGCTTTCTCAGATCCATGCCTATAAATAAGGTTGACTGAAGGCTCAGTCTGTAATTCTTTCACTCCGAAGTGTGAAGAGTAGACGGGGAATATAAAAGGATTGGTCGAATAAAGATATTCTCTGTAGCGTACTTGCTGTACTTTAAGCAGATGGCATTGTTTCAAGTTTCCACTTCCCTGTTTGTCAGCTGCCACACACAAGACGTTTATATGCATGTTTGATTGACTCACGCTGCAGTAATGTGATTACAGGGCAGGTGGGCCCAGGATCGCCCATCGGCCTTACTTATTGGATTGAGCCAAGTGGGTTGTATATCATCTATTGTTCCTGGGTGGGGGCATTGCCTGGCAATTCACAAAATTGAATTTATAACTCTGTGTATGATAAATTTCGGCCTCTGTCCTGCAGTTAATGGGCCCTTGTTTGTTCCACGCATCGCCTTGATTTCCCTGCACTGCCAATACTGAGAAGTGTTACTGTTTGCTGGCATGTAGGAGCAGCTCGGTAAACAGAAGCCTGCTCTCGTATTGATTGAACATCTGCGAGAGACGGTCTGAGCTCTGCGAAACGGCAGCAGATACAAGGAAATACCTCAGAGGTAGGCGAGAGAAAAGGAGGAAGGAAAGAGAAAGAGACTGACATATAGGAGAAAAGAAACTGGCAGCAAATTGACTTGCTCTGCTGAAAAAAAAAAGTGTTTCACAAATGTAGTTCCTTCTTAACAAGTGCTAATTGCTTGGATCCAGGTCCAGGAACAAAGAGAGAACAGCGTGTCGGTGCAGAGAGTGACATTTAGTTTTCCATGCTGGAGCTGATGGTGGGTTGCTTAATAATACAGCAGCTCTCTTCAAATCACAGGTGGTCACTTTGGGCTGCTTTTTCCAGGCAAAAGTTTTAAAAAGCCGACTCTGAATAAGAGTCCTACGCTGCAGACGCTGCCGAGCTGGAGGTCTCCAGTCTTAGTCGGGTTTTATTCAAACATATTCCCACTGCAGTTAATCTGTCCATCAGCCGGGTGATTATAGAAACAGGCCAAATGTTTGACTACAAAAATGCACCAACATCTATGTAAACCGACCATTGCACTGAAACATTCAGACAAAGAAGTTACACTTAAGCAACAAATGTTTCTAAGCGTACCGTTTTCTGTAAATTGCACCATTTTCAACCATAAATGGTTCTTGTTGTTGTTTTTTGTGTTTTTTTTTTATTTATTTTTTTTTATGGGAACTTAACAGCCTGTTCAGTTCAATGTGTGGGAAAGTTTAACCATTACAAAAAGTCTTAAAATGTTCCAAAAAGTCTTTCTGATCTTGTTTTGAGATCGATATACTTAACAAGAGCAGATTATAAAAGATTAATAATCTTGTTTTCAGAAAAATCTATTTAAAATAAGTGCAGTAATCTGCCAGTGGGGTGAGCACTGCAAAAAATCTAAATCTAGAGAAGTCATTTTTTCTTAAAATAAGTGCATTTGTTCTTGAGTTGAGGAGGTAAAAGATATATTTTGCCAATGAATCAAGACAATTTACACTTAAAATAAGAAAACACAATTGCATTGTCTTATTTCAAGTGCATATTATCTAATTATCTTATTTTAAGAGTAAAATTACTCATTCCATTGGCAAACTATCTCATTTACCTACTCAAATTAAGGGTGAATACACTTAATTTAAGAAATTTTTACTTATTTCTAGATCGTTTTTGCAGTGAGAGAACTGAACTTAGTGAGACTTCATGATTTCAAGAAGTCTCACCAAGTGCAACTGGCAGATTATTGTAGAATATTCTGAAAACGAGATTAATAATCTTACAGATTCCGCTCTTGTTTTGTATAGAAATCTAAAAACAAGTTAAAGACTGTTTGGCTTGAAATAAGCTTAAAAGACTTGGTTGATAGGTCTGTTGAAGCAGAAGTTGAATATTGAAATGTAGTTTCATACTGTAAAAGTACAAATTCTGAAAAAGCAAGAACTACTAATCCTGCAGATTTAGCCGAGGCTTTCTTTAGTAAATCAGATCAGAAATCGTATTAATACAAAGAAGCAACACTTTGAATCAATATTTGGTGCTGGTCCATCATGACAGCAGGCTGTAAAATGGAAATCTGAGAAACTCAATTTTTCTTCACTTAATTCAACCAATAAAGTAATCCAATTTACCAATGGAATGAGATTATTTTCATTTAAAATAAGAGAAAAAACATATTAACTTATTCCATGTCCACATCTATTTAGTTTTTAAGAGCAAAAAATCTTGCAGAGGAGACTACACTGCAAAAATGGTTTAGAAATAAGTAAAAATGTCCTAAATCAAGCATATTTACCCTTCATTTTAGTAGATAAATGGGATGATTTGCCAATGGAATGAGTATTTTTACTCTTAAAATAAGATTATTAGATAATATCCACTTGAAATAAGACAATGTGGTTACTTTTTCTTATTTTAAATGTAAATTGTCTTGTTCCACTGGCAAAGTATCTCACTTACCTCCTCAATTCAAGAACAAATGCACTTAGTTTAAGAAAAAATGACTTATTTAGATTTCCATTTTTGCACTGTAAAGACCTTTAAATGAGGACCTTCCCATAAAGGTCAAAAGATTAATCTACCAGGTTTATTTTTTTTCCACATCTTATCTTTTACATCCAACATATTTCTTATTTTATGACTTCATACTTAAACTTTACTTTCATTGTCTTATTTTATACTTTTAATTTTGTAAAAAAAAAAAAAAAAAAAAAAGACAAGTCTGGTCATGACAAGCTCCATACACTGCAAAAAATGAAGTGTGAATAAGTCTTTTTTTCTTGAAATGAAGGGATCTTCCCTTTACATGGGAAGGTAAGTAAGACAATTTGCAAATGGAAAAACATAAAATGAGAAAATTACAGCTACATTATCTTATTTCAAGGGTATATCAAATTATCTCATCTTGAGGAGAGAAACAATATTTCTTTTAGCAGGTTATCCTGTTAATCTTCCCAAATTAAGAGCAAATACGCTCATTTTACAAAATCTCATAATTTTACACTGGAAAAAACAATCCAAAAATAAGTACAAATTTCTTAAATTAAGTGTATTTACTCCTTAATAGGTAAATTAGATACTTTGATAAAAGAATGAGTATTTTCACTCTTAAAATAAGATAATTAGATAATTGAAATAAGACAATGCAGTAGTGTTTACTTATTTACACTGCAAAAACGATCTAGAAATAAGTCAAAATGTCTTAAATTAACTGTATTTACCCTTGATTTGAGTAGGTTAATAAGATGTTTTGCCAATGGAAGAGAATTGTTACTCTTAAAATAAGGTAATTAGATAATATACACTTGAAATAAGACAATGAAATAGTTTTTTTCTTATTTTAAATGTAAATTCTCTCGTTCCATTGGGAAAGTGTCTCACTTACCTCCTCAATTCAAGAAAAAACGCACTTATTTTAAGAAAAAATGACTTATCTAGATATCGATTTTTCCCAGTGTATATCTAAATTGTCTTATTCCATTGGCAAAATTTCTCATTTATCTACTCAATTCAAGAACAAATCCACCAGTTTAAGAAAAAATGACTTAGATTATTTCCAGAGTAGGTCAGTTTTTGCAGTGTACTACCAACCTCTGCTTCGTTTGCCTAAACTTGTCATATTCGTTCAACTTGGTTAGAGCTTGTTTTGCCTTGAGATCAACTTTTAAAGGAGATGCAAGACCAAATATTGCTCTATTTTCCTCAAACAAAAAGCTTTTGGTGGAGATTAGAGATGAAAAGTTTCATGTGGTTTTGTGAGGAATTATTCTAGATAAAACTAGATGATATTTCATCTCTCACTAGATTTTCTCTTTCCACCATCAGCAACCAGATAACCCAATAATAAACCCCATCTCTCCTCTATAGCAGTATTTTCCCCTTAATCTCAGCAGGCTGATAAATGAACTGCCAATGGCATGACTATTTTAATTCAGTTGTGTTATTGTTTCTTATATTAAGCATAAATCTTTTCATTCCAATGGCAAAGTGTCTTTCCTACCTGCTCAAATCAATGGAAAATACAATCATTTTACACTGTAAAAAAAAAAAACAATCTAGAAATAAGTAAAAAATTCTTCAATTAAATGTATTTACCCTTAATTTAAGTAGAGAAATAAGATTTTTGGGGTATTTTCACTCTTAAAATAAGTTAATTAGATTAGAATTGTTTTTCTTATTTCAAATTTAAATTGTTTTGTTCCGTTGGCAAAGTGTTTCACTTACCGCCTCAATTCAAGACAAAATGCATTTATTTTAAGAAAAGATTACTTATTTAGATTTCAATTTTTTGCAGTGTAGGAAAACTTTACTTACTCCACACTGGAAAAATGATCTAGAAATAAGTGCAATTTATTTTTTATTAAGTGTGTTTACCCTTAATTTGAGTAGGTAAATTAGATAGTTTGCCAATTTAATGAGTATTTTTTCTCTTAAAATAATATAATTAGATAAAATGCACTTGAAATAAGACAATGGAATTGTTTTTTGTCTTATTTTAAGTGTAAATTGCCTTGTTCCATTGGCAAAATGTCTCTTTTACCTCCTCAATCCAAATACACTTTTTTTAAGAAAAATGACTTGTCTAGATTTTGATTTCTTTCCAGTGCAGTTTTAATTTTTGCAGTGCAAATAACTTTAAACTCCAAAATGAACCCACAACTCTCAATAAAGTCACTCTGAGCAAAAACAGGGAAAAATTGGGATTCAGGGACAATAGAAATGAACTTTAAAAAGCAACTTTAAAGCACGTGGCTGCGTGCTTACTCGGGTAACATGCAGGGCGGGTAGGAGCCCATACTCACATTTCTGTCACATTATCACTCTCCTGAGGAGCCAGTGGTGGGATGCTGCTTATCCCGTTGGGCTCTAGGCACTGCATCATGGCAAAAGAGCAGCGGCAAGCGGACGGGCATCCTCCCAAAGTAGGTGCAGGCGACAGGCTGAGCAGGGTTAGCGCCAGGGGCAAAAGAAGCACCAGGACCCTGGGTGCCACGTCCATCTCTCTGAGTACCACCTGAGTGGTAGCAGCAGTTGGTGTCTGAGTGCTTCACCTAATGAAGAGTTAATGAAGAGTGGTGGAGAGCTTCCTCTCTGGCGGGGTTGAGATCCCAGCTGGTCAGGGTTTGATAGGGAGCCACAGCTGTAGTGAGCAGCAGGAGGGGCAGGCACACGAGCAGGCTGGAGGCCCCTGGGGACATGCTGGTGGTGGGCTGGAGCTTCTCCTCTTTACCTCCCTCTCTCCTCGTCTCCTTCACCATTAAGGGAGGAGCAACATATTAACATGGGCCAAAGTCACCAGACACCTCAGAGAGCATGATAAAGGCGGGGGGGGGGGGGGGGGGGGGGGGGGGGGGGGGGGGGGGGGGGTGGATAGGGGTGTGAGAGCAGACCCAAGAAGTCAGGGCTCCGGGGCACAGATTCTTCCTCCTCCTGCAGCATCATCATCATCATCCCTCTGCACTGATTGTTTATGAGTTCATGGTGGTTTACCATCACATATGTATTTATGCATGAGAAAATGGACGGTGTTTGGGGGGGCATTTGCTGCAAGCTCTTTGAACTCCTAACAGCACCGAGCAATGACCTGTTTATCTTTATCTTCAGGTGCAATCACTGAAACATGTAAAACCCACTCAGGCCTGATCATGTGAGCGCCTTCCTGCTGGAAATGAGAAGAAAGCAATCAAACCTGAGAAGAAGTCAGCCCGTCGGTGAAGTTGGAGGACTCGAACACAGAGTTGATTGAGAAGGCAGATACAAAAAAATAAAAAAAAAACACTTGCAGCAGTTCAGGAAATCAATAAAAGAGAAAGAAAGTGAAAACAAAGCAGAAGGTAGACATAAGGAGCTGAGACAAAAGAGGAGAAACGAAAACATCATATATCGTCAGGGACAATCAGCGGAGCAGAATTCAGGTGTGAACAGAACCGAGAAAATCGAGGGAAAGTAAAGAAGCTCCTGAAGTGAACTTAAATGAACCAAGAACTGCTCTGAAATCTACACTAAAACCATCAGAGATCATGCTAAAGAACAGAATGTTTATTTTTTTGTTTAAATCAAGACTTTTCAAACATTTAAATGGAGGAAGAAAAAAACTCCTTTTTGCTCCCCAAAAAAATCTAATTAGATTAAGTGTATCTACCCTGTAATCTAATACTGCAATCACTCTTTAAAAGGGGTAATTTGGTCATTTAAAGGGGATTTTAGTTTATTTTACTGTGTAGTTTGCAGCAGCTGACTTTTCTTAGCTGAAGTGGGAAAAACTTCTCACATATAAAGCCTTAAATGGCCAAGCTCCATCAGAGATCTCATTGTTCCTTATGTTCCTAACAGAGAACTTTGCTCTCATTCTGCAGGTTTACTCGTGGTTCCTAGAATTTCTTAAAGTAGAATGGGAGGCAGATCTTTTAGTCATCAGGCTCCTCTCCTGTGGAACCAACTACCAGTTTTAGTCCGTGAGGCAGACACCCTGTCTACTGGGATATCCAGCGAGGATACATTTGACCCGTCCTTCAGATCGGGCATAAAGGATGCAATTGAAGGCCGCATAACGAGGAGTCTTGGAATCAAACCAGACCTCGGCGCCACGCTATGACGTAATCGTTCTCCGAATCTGGCCTTTGGAGGACGCAGCCCATGAATTCCAACAGAGAAATAAGCAATACTGCTGCCATCAACACCATTGTTTATAGATGTTGGAGATCGGCCTGTTTTTCCAGTGTGGTCCTGTTTCTCTGACTGTGACTAACTGGATGTGCTCTCTTCATCCTCTGACATGGGAGCTGGCTCGGAGCTCGTCTGCCTGGCTGTGTGTTTCCTGGACGGGGCCGCCTTTTCCTAGCCTGGGTGCCATTCCGAACTTAGTCCCGCCCACAACGTTTCAGTTCGGGAAGTTCGGTCTGGCATTGCTCAATAGTAGCGAGTATGCTCGCACAATATCTGGCGGGCCAATCAAATTGTCAGGGCGGGCTTTATATGATGATGGACAGATGATCAACAGTAACGTAATCAACCACGTGACCAAAGCGCGCTTGGGTGACAACAACAATGGCTGCCGCTGGAGAGTTGAGGTGAGTAGATTCTGCTATTAGGTCTGTTCTAGAAGATATCGACAGCAAATTAATTTTAAAAGAGGAACAGAGAAACGCGATCAAGGCTCATCTTCTTATTCTAGGCGTGCAACTGCACGCTTTGATTTTTGTTGACAACAACTATGCCTCGCTTAACATACGTCACGCACTCCATTGCTCTTATTGGTTGTAGGTCTATCCAATTGAGTGCAGAGGCATTTTTTTTCCTGGTTCGTTCGAAACACGCCCCATAATCACAGCTCTATGGAGCAGCATCAGTCTCATTCTGACTAGAATTGAGTAGGACTACGTCAGGCTGGCCTTTTCCAGCTGCTTTTCGTATCTCTGCTTCTGTCTCCTTGAACCCCAGTGGGCCTCAGCAGATGGCCGCTCACACTGAGCCTGGTTCTGCTGGAGGTTTCTTCCTGTTAAAAGGGAATTATTCCTCTCCACTGTCGCCCAAAGCTCAACTCAACTCAAACCTTATTTATAAAGCACATTTAAAGCAACTTGGGTTGACCAAAGTGCTGTACAGGAATCACAGTTAAGGAACATAAGATAAGAACATGTTTAGTGTGAGGGATCGCCTTCGACTCAATGAGTCGATGCAATCAACTGGTTTTCCTTGGATAGAAAACTTTGAATCAATTTGACTGGATGATCTGGTTCAACTGTAAAGTGCCTTGAGATGACATGTTTATATAAATAAACTGAATTGAATTGAAAAAGTTTGGTCGGAGGGGGGAGAGGATACTTCCTTTTTAAATGAAAGTGGGCCCATGAAGAAAAGTGAACCAATATGGGATACGTAGAACACTAACTATGAGAACATTACTGGCTTACTTACAGTATGTGAGAACTCACAAGTTACCTACAGATATCCTCATCAAATAAATAGACATAAGATTTTACTGTATTTGTTTAAACATATTCCTCAACAAACCTTCTGGTTTGAAAATATATTTAAAAATGTAAACATCCTCCAAACTGAACACTCAATAAACCATAAATCTACCTTCCTAAACCCTTTCACATTGATAGCTGAACCCTGCATGCCTTCACTGACCATCTGTCAAACCCAACATTAACCTGCTCTGGAGACCCACCACTGTTCATCTCTTTTATGCTCTCTGTATGATCAGAGCCTGTTTCCTCCCGTGGGACAGATAGTTGCCCCGCCCTCATCCCTCTTAGTCACTCTACACATGAGTAGGGGTCATAGTGTCCTGACCACAATTACTGGCCATAAGCCGAATCACTGTTTTTGCTGCTGTCATCAAAATTATCTGCTGTCTTAATTACTTTTTCTTTTATGCCTCCTTTTTCTCTCGGTCTTAGCTCAGCAGATATGGTGACAAGGCCCCCCATTCACAGGGAAAGTGTCTGAGAGATCAAGTGCAGCAATTTGAAGCTGAAGAACAGCATCGGAAGCAACACATCATGCAAAAACTGCACATGCAAACAAAAAGCAAAAAAAAATCAGGACACATTATCTTAAGCATGCAGGTTAACCTATGATTTTTCTGCATCTTTTTGTACATGACTTGATATTTTTGCCATTCAGCAGATTTATAAATATATGCTTTACAAATTTATATTTAGGAATTAATGTTTTACAATGCCAGAGATATTTGCGAACTGATGATTTGCTGTCAGGGCCTCAGAAACAATTACAACACTGGAAAAACAATCTAGAAATAAGCAAAAATTTCTTAAATTGAGTGTATTTACCCTTAATTTAAATAGCTAAATGAGTTACAGTAGTTTGCCAATGGTCTTAAAATAAGATAATTAGATAATATGCACTTGAAATAAGACAATGCAATTATTTTTTTCTTATTTTAAATGTAAATTGTCTCTTCTATCTCCAAAATCCAGGAATAAATGCACTTATTTTAAGAAAGAATTACTTATTTAGATTTCGATTTTTTCCAGTGAATATTTTAAAAATTGGTTAAAAAATGTATGAGGTTAAAAAACAGGTAAACAACACTGCAAAAACTATCTAGAAATAAGCTAAAATTTCTTAACTTAAGCATATTTACCCTTTATTTCAGTATGGAAATAAGATGATTTGCCAATGGAAGGAGTATTTTTACTCTTTAAATAAAATAATTAGATAATATGCACTTTAGATAAGACAATGCTATAGTTTTTTTCTTATTTTAAATGTAAATATATTGGTCCATTGGCAAAGTGTCTCGCTTAACTCTTATTTTAAGAAAATAAACTAAATTGAACCTTTTTTTTTTTTTTTGCTAAACCTTCCTTGTAATATAATAATAAAAATATGATTCAAATTCTTCTATTACTGATTCTGAAAACTGAAAATGCCATCAGAAAGTACAGAGTTCCCAGAGATTTTTATTTTTCTATTTATTTTTCTAAACTATAAAAAAAATTAGAATGATTAATGAAAATGTTTGTGCAGTATAAGCTGTTTTTCACATGTAGATTTAGCACTGCTCCCTTGCAGCATAAATGTTCTGGGTTTGATTCCCAGCCCGGGAATTTGCATAGAATTTGCATGTTTTCCCTGTGCATGCGTGGGTTCTCTCCGGGTACTCCGACTTCCTCCCACAGTCCAAAAACATCAATGTTAGGTTAATTGGCTTCTCTAAATTCTCCTTAGGTGCGAGCGTGTGTGTGCATAGTTGTGTGTCACTGGCAACCTGTCCAGGCTGACCCCGCCTCTCGCCCATAGACAGCTGGAGATAGGCAGATTAAGCAGTAGAAAACCCATATACCACACATATACCACGTGCGGATGCTGTTCCTGGACTTCAGTTCAGCGTTTAACACCATCATCCCACAGCACCTGGTGGGAAAGCTGGAACATCTGGGCTTCAACACACCCCTTCGAAACTGGCTGCTGGACTTCCTCACCAACAGACCTCAGTCAGTCCGGGTCGGTCAGAACACCTCTGATGTCATCACCCTCAGCACGGGCTCCCCTCAGGGCTGCGTCCTGAGCCCCCTGCTGTTCACCCTGATGACATATGACTGCGTCCCCAGGTTCACCACCAATCACATCGTGAAGTTTGCGGACGACACCACGGTGGTGGGCCTCATCAGGGACGACAACGACCGGGACTACAGAGAGGAGGTGGAGCAGCTGGTGGACTGGTGCAGTGAAAAC